CTGGTGTTTGTGTTATCTAATTCATCGAGTTCTCTATTGTTTAGAGTTGTTATTAAATTAAATCTTGAGCGTTGGTCTGGAGTTATTTAACAATTAGGGTTAATTAGAACACTGGTTTCTAATTAACTAAAATTAAGAAGAAATAAGAATCAATTCCAACGGTAAATATTCGAAATATGAATTGAATTATCCTTGTATCTGTGATCAATTGCGGATTTTCGACGGTGGATGTGAACTTAGACCAAGGTCAGTCTTTTGATTGTTTTCGTTAATTTAATTTTCATTATTATTGATTACGTTATTCACAATTGTTTGCATACAAAAACCCCTCAATCATTGTACGAAGCATAAAATATTGAATTACACATTCTTCGTGAGATCGACCTTTACTTCCACTACTACATTAGTTTTAGAGGTTAAGGTATTACTTTTGGGTGCCTGCGACAGTACACACCACCTAGCATAATGTTGAAATTAAACAAATAAAAGTGGAACGACATCACTAAAAAATTTACGAAACGAAAAGTAATTATTTTCCGAAGTGAAGCTGCCATGATCGTGCCTTTTTTCCATGTATATTTTGTCTTCTCTGCCTCTACACTTCTCCACCTTGGCCGCCGACCAAAAAAAAACTTAATTCTCTGCCAGCCACTCCCTCCTTTCTGTCTGCGTGTATCTCCCCTTTTAATTCCCTGTTGTCTGTCTTTTTATGCCTAAAGAAATCCCAAAAAGGAGTTCAGTTTCTTCCCCAAGAGCTCCGTCCGTCCAACAGTAAGCATGTAATTATATTCTAACCTGCCGCCCACTTTTATTGTTAATTGAAAAAGTTCAATTCGCAGTCTGTCTTCACCTTCAACTTGTATTGTTAATAGAAAATTCCTATTTCCTGTCACTGCTTCTTCTCCATGTGCGTGTGTATATATGTGTATATATGTAACCTAAGCCACAATGTTTTAATCCAACCAGAAGTCCAATTAATTAATGCTTGCTATCCAAATCCTCAATTTTTTCATATAAAGAAAGTTAGTCATTTTCTCCATTAATTCCTCATTTTGATCCTCCAACTTTTATTCAAGTGAGATTTAGTCCACAAACTTCTATTTAATAGCCAATAGATCCTTTTTCTTTTCCAATTGCTTTGAAACGGTTCCAACACTAAAATAACAGAAAATCAACAGTATTATGACCAAAAATGGATTTGTTGCCAACATACAGATGTCAACAAGATTAATTACAACTTCAATAAAATAATCAATTTATGTTTATCGTCTCCTATGTGTTAGTTAGTGGTACAATAATTCAAATTTGGTGTTCCAAACGAGTTTGTTAAGATTAGAAGTCCCGGGTCAAGTTGATAAAAATGCAAATGATGTTGCAGACAAGACTAAGGAAAACAGAAACTCTCTTGCACGTGATTATACCGGTAAAAAATAGGAAAAAATGAACTAAATTACATGTAGTTCACCCTTATGGGCCTGTTTGGGAGTTTTGGGGTACCATTATGATTTTTTTTTTGAAGTACCAATTTTGAACGTTTATGAGGGATTTTATTTTGGGTGGTTTTTAGTAATATTTTTAAAACAATCTAATTCATGCTTGTAAGTTTATTATTAAGTGGTTCTGAAATTTTTTTAAAAGAATAAAATTACATATATATACTTGTATATAAAAAAGGTAGGTAGATTATAAAGACTACGGTGTAAAAGTGTATGTTACTTATATATATATATCCCTATACAATAAAAGAGTCACTTTTGAATGTACTGTTCACACTTTCGTCCTATGAAACGACGCCGTTTTCTCCCACCGTTTTTCTTTGTTTTTTCAATTCGCGACCTCATTTCCTTAGGGTTTTCTCACTGTTATTTCTTTGGTACTCTCTCTCTCTCTTCATCCCCGTCCCCTTCTTCGTCATCGATCTACCTTTGTTAATCGTCGTCTGCCTTTTGTTGCCTTTTTTTCGAGTTATCAGTGTTCTAATTTTCGAAAAAAATTTCCTGCCTGGGTTGATTCTCGATGTCATAGTGTGGAGGCCGACGGGATGGCGGTGGTTTGGAGTTGCGATGGAGGTGGAATCGGCGGGGTCGATGGTGGTCGAACCGACTTCTCTTTAAATGGTATGTCCTTCGGTCTTCCATTCATCATCTTAGGGTTTTCTCTATGTGTTATTTTTTTGGTATTTCCTGTCTTTCTCTCTTCATCTCTTCACTGCCGCCCCCTTCTTCGTCCATTGATCTGTT